ATCCTTATGGACTAACTAGTTTTTAATATATTAAGTGCATAAGTCCATATTAAGAAGGGGAGCATAATGGAGAATGAATGATCCCCTGGTCCTATTGCCAGATTCATTGAGAAAATGGCATAGCTACCAAATATGACTCGTAGCTACCAGTGAGGTAACGAATCTTCGTTCGCTTCCGACATCATGTAATAGCTGACAATTAAACTCTATCAATACAATCCTGTCCTCGCTACTTCTTGTCACGTTGGGACTGCCCTGATTGCTCGAGAGTGACCTTGCAGCTGGATTGCGTCCAGTCGTTGTGCGGCTTACGGTACTAGGTACTAGCGTTGATGGCTAACCAAGCGAACAGTACTGCTCAACAACACAACCATGGTCCATGGCAGGTATACGTAATTATGTATGTCACCACTGAACCGACTCAACGGCTCTAAAAATGCAGGAAAGAGGCCAGGCCGAAAATTGTGGTGAACGCATGATGTGGTCCATTGCATGATTGCATCAACTTTTTAACTTCTTGATTAGTACCATACATTCCAATGAAAATATATCTTAGGAGGTGGTTGATTCCGCCTTCCAAATTTTAGTCGTTGTCCCATCAGATGGGTGACACATGCATAGAGTATTAAATATAGACTAATTACGAAACTAAATTTATAGATTGAGATTAGTTTGGGAGACGAATTTATTAAACCTAATTTGTCCATAATTTGACAGCGTTGTGCTACAGTAAAATGTGCTAATGATGAATTAATTAGGTTTAATAAATTCGTCTCGTGGATTACTTACGGATTCTGTAATTTGTTTTTTTTTTGTTAGTATCCAAACATTCCATACAATACTCCACGTGACATCCAATGTGACACCTCTTAAACTTTAACCCCTACGTTCAAACACCCTCTTAAAAACTATGCCAAAAACGCGCGCACACCATCTATAAAACATGGTTTGTAATAATCCTAAAGTATCATCATTATCCTATTCCATCGCGGAACACGGGTCTTCCGTGTTAGTTTGTCTAAAAGCAGACGAGAACGTGGAACGTTGTTTGCATTGCTCTCCAGTCTCCAGGCAGATGGTCACCAACCATGCCCAGCGACGTACGCATGCACGTCATCCTCGTCCCGTTCCCGCCGCAGGGCCACTTCGCCGCGTTCCTCTCCCTCACGGCGCGCCTCCACGCCGCGCTGCCCACGGCGGCCGTCACGCTCGTGTCCACCTCGCGCAACGTGGTCGCGATCCGCGCAAGCTCCTCCTCCGCGGCGGCGGCGGGGGCGCCGTTCCTCAGGTTCCACGCGCTGCCCTTCGCGCCAGAGGAGCACGGCCTGCCGGCGGGGGCCGAGTCCGCCGACACCGTCCACGTCCGCCACTTCCTCGCGCTTTTCCAGTCTACCGAGTCGCCCGCGCTCCAAGCCGCCTTCGACGCCTTCCTGGCCGGCGTCTGCGTCGACGCTGCTGAAGAAGAACCGGTCGTCGTCGTCGCTGACCCCTTCCAGGCGTGGACGACCGCCGCCGCGGGCCGGCGCGGAGCAGGCCACGCGTTCTTCGACTCCTGCGGCGCGTTCGTCAGCGTGGTGTACCACTCGCTCTGGAACCACCTCCCGCACCGGCGCGCGCCCGGAGGCGAGGCGGAGGCGTTCTGCCTGCCGGACCACCCGGAGGTCACGGTCCACCGCTCGCAGCTCCCGGCGCACCTCCTCCTCGCCGACGGCACGGACCCGTGGTCCGCCTTTCATCGCCGGCAGATAGCGCTCGGGTACGGCACCGACGCCGTGCTCATCAACACCGCGGAGGAGTTGGAGCCGGCCGAGCTGCGACAGCGTCATGCGGTGGCTGGACGCCCGTGAGAAGTTGAATTTGTCGGTTCTGTACATCTCGTTCGGCTCCCAGAATAGCTTACGGCCAGACCAAATGATGGAACTGGCCGCGGCGCTCGATCTCACCGGCCGGCCATTCCTCTGGGCCATCCGGCCGCCCGTCAGGCTCGGCGACGACACCGAAACGTTCGGATTGGACAAGTGGCTGCCGGAAGGGTTCGAGGAGAGGGTGCGCTCCAACGACACGGGTCTCCTGGTCCGCGGGTGGGCGCCGCAGCTGAGCATCCTGGCGCACGCGTCGACCGGCGCGTTCCTGAGCCACTGCGGGTGGAACTCGGTGATGGAGAGCGTGGCGCACGGCGTGCCCATCATCGGGTGGCCGCTGCAAGGGGACCAGTTCTTCAACTGCGAGATGCTGGAGCGGGAGTGGGGCGCCTGCGTCGAGGTGGCGAGGGGCAACGCCGAGGGCTCGTCGTCGGTGGTCGAGCGGCAGCGGCTGGCGGAGGTCCTGGAGACGGTGATGGGGGACACCGCGAAAGGGGCTGAGATGAGGCGGCGCGTGAAGGAGATTCAGGAGCTGATCGGCAGCACCCAAGAGAAACTGTTCACCGCAATGCTGCATGCTACAGATGCTGCTGCCTTGGAGTGCTGATGCCGGTGCGGGCTCGGTGCTACTGTGTCACATGCCAGCTGAGTTCTGCTCGTACCATTGCAAGCAGCTGATTTTGGACATCCTTCAGGCTTCATGTACTATGGATTATATTAATGATGGATGATGGTATTTACTCATGCCACTACCATTTGGACTGTCGCAAAAGCAGGCAGGTGCAATGGTCACCTTCTCATATGAGCACCGAGAAAATTCAGATTGAGGGCGCGTTTAGTTCGCGATTTTTTTTTGTTTGCTGTAGCACTTTCATTTATATTTTGTAATTAGTGTCTAATTATGGGCTAATTAGTTCGAAAGTTTCGTCTCGCGATTTCTCACCCAACTGTACAATTATTTTGTTTTTTCGTCTACATTTAGTACTCCATGTGCTGCAAGATTCGATGTGACATTTATGATGAAAATTTTTGAAAACTAAACAGGACCTGAGGAGACAAACTCATGTTTGCTTGCACTTGCATTGCAGGCCTAAAACTTCTCTCTCCAATTTACAGATGCAAGTACTTGGATAATCGGACTACGTGAGGGCACCTACAGTGGTGGGTCGACCCATCAGGGCCACGTACACCAGCTTCGAGTCGATCCTCTCATCCTCCAGTGTTGTCGACTCATCGTGATCTGATTGCGAATAAAAAACCCCTTGGCTTTTGGACCCGGCCCACTCGCACGACTTGGTTGAAGTCTCCGTCCCCTTCATCCCCCCGTCTCCTTTCCGCATCATTCTTCACGAACAGGCAACGGCGGCGCATCCAGATCTCGGCCATTCGGCGACAGCATCAGGCGCACCTCACCTCTCCGCATCGCCTCCTCCCTCTGCCTCAGGCGACTCCAGCGGCCAGGCACCCCCCGTACGAGGTTGGCTCCGAGCTCGGCGCGCGGGGGACCCGTCCGCGGCGGCGCGGCGAGGCGCGGACTGCAAGCAGAGGGCTGCTTCAAGGAGCAGCTGGATGTCGCGGTCGGCTGCGTACATGGAGGTCGAGGCTCCGCCCGCCGCTGTCGCAGGAGGACACTTCCACTCGTCCGCGTCGAGGTGAGCTGCCCCGTCGATCTGTTACGGTTTTGGTGGGCGGGCATCGATCTGTTAAATTCGATTTATGCGTGCATTCCAACGTTTGACTTATACACTATGAATCTTGGATTTTCTGTTTCTTTTCCAAAATGATTTATCCGATCTGAAAGTTGGGTACAGAAAAAAAAAGGATCATGGAAACTAAATGGGGGCAGTACCACTTATTTTGCATCTTATGAGCAATGCGTACACAATAAGATTGAAAAGATAAATTGGGATTACATAAAAAAAACACTAGAGAAAAATGTGCTAGACGAACATGGTTGGAATTGGTGATTGATTGATTGTGAAATGTGAATCGGTAGTTGGTAGACGGTAGAGACTAGAGACGAAGGTTTTCATATGCCTAAAATTGGCGATTGAGAGATTGGTGGAAATGTGACCTGTTTACAGGCCTAATTCTTTGCGCCCGGCGGCCGCCGCGCCACCTGCTGCCCGCAAACGGGTACTAGTGGACCCTGACACTGACGGGTCCGCAGGCGCCTGCTGCCTCGCCTCGGTGTCTCCTCCTCCCGGCGCTGGCTGGGCATCCGCCGCCTCGTCCCTCTCTTCTCGATGTAGGTGATGTTCGGGGGCGGTGCAGGCCCATGTGGACGCGCAAAACGGTGCGAAAAAGGACCGTAGGCGTGGGCGTCCGGACGCCCCGTCCATCCGGACGTCTAGGCACTAGCAAGCCCGATTTAGCAAGCTAAATCTGAGTTTATGTGTGTCATAAGCATGTGGGTTGTATTCTAACTTTTACAATCTCACAAAAAATTGTAGTTAATTTTTTTCATATGTGATTATATTTATTATAATATATAGTATTTATGGGCCTTGAGATTTATATATCTTTATCGATTTATGTGTATGAGCCTGTTAAGTCTTTATAAAACCCAATACAAATAGGGCGACCTTATTAGGCCCCCAAATTTTAGAGCCCATACGAGCCTCACATAGCACTGAGCAGTGAAAAGTTTGTTTTGTTTTTTTTTCCTCGAAAAACGCAGGAGAGCTGCACTTTAGTATATTAAGAAGACCCTAAACTACACCAACACACTTCTGACCTAACCCTGATCATGATTATATACGAGTTAGAATACATTTCTTGCAATGATACCAAGTTCAATTCTTATAGCGAACGAGCCAGATGGCTCAGTGGTGAGAGTTGTTTAGTAGAGGCACCATAGCCTGGGTTCGAGCCCCGCTCGGCGTAGGCTTCGCATCGGGGTTTTTTTCCCATTTTATTTTCAGTCTTAAGTAGAAATGTTTCACAACGGTCAGGGTGATAAGTACTTCTTAACCACAGTGTGTCAGATACTATAACTTGTACTTCCAGAGAAAAAAAAATCAATTCTTATATATTGGGTTCGGTGGCCTAAAATCATCTACCAAAGTTTTTTTTTGAACTGCCAAAGTTAAGTACACGCGGGGTCTCTCTCACTGCCATTTCAATTCCAGCCCACGCATGGGAAAGCTCCGGGGCCAGAACACAGGCCCGCCGGCAGCCGCCGCCTCCCTCCGCTTCGCCGCGCTCCTCAAGTCGTGCGGCCGCACCGGTGACATCCGCCGCGGCCGCGCGCTCCATGCGCGCCTCTTGCTCACCGGCGCAGCTGCCACGTCCACCTTCCTCGCCAACCACCTCATCACCATGTACTCCCACTGCGCCGACGCGGCCTCCGCCGTCCGCGTGTTCGGCGTCTTACCCCGCCCCAACCTCGTCTCCTGGACGACGCTCATCTCGGGTCTCGTCCAGAACTCCATGCACCACACCACGACGCGCCGCCTTCGCCATCATCATGCCGCAGCGTGCATCGCCGCCCCCACGCAGTCGCAGCTCTCAAGTCTTGCGTCATGCCGCTGCGCCTCTCTCGCCCAGCGCCCCGGCCTTGAAGGCCCTTCGCACTCAGATCGGCATCAGGCTTGGCTTTGACACTGAGCTCTTCGTCGCGAGCAACCTTGCGGACATGTACTCCAAGTGCGGGCTCCTTGACGAGGCGTGCAGGGTATTTGAACAAATGCCTCACAGGGATGCCGTCACGTGGACTACCATGATCGACGGCTATGCAAAGAACGGGAGCCTCGAGGCCGCTATTCTGGCTTTTCCGGGATATGAAATGTGAGGGACTGGTTGGAGCTGACCAAAGATGTGTTCTGCAGTCGTTGAGTGCATCGGAGGGGGCTCAAGGATGGATGGTTTGGTCGAAGCCTGCATTGTTGTATAATTAAGGCTGGGTTTGAACTGGAGACTGTTGTGAGGAATGCGCTATTGGACATGTATGCTAAGTCTGGGGATTTGGAGAGTGCCTCTCGTGTGGTGAAGATTGATCCTGGAGGTTGGAATGTTGTGTTAGGCACCTCACTGATTGACGGTTACATTGAGGCTGATCGTATTGAGGAGGCTCTTGAGACGTATACTGAGTTGGGGAGGCAAGGTGTCGAGCCCAATGAATTCACTTTCACGAGCATGATTAAGGGCTGTGCCATGCAAGATCTGCTCGAACAAGGTGCTCAGCTGCATGCTCAAGTCATCAAGACAAGTTTGATCAGTGACTCATTTGTTGGTTCCACCCTTGTGTATATGTATGGAAAATGTGGCCTCATAAGTTTGTCCCTTCAGTTATTTAATGAGATTGGATACCACACTGAGGCCGCCTGGAATGCGGTTATAAATGTATATGCACAGCACGGTCATGGTTGGGGGGCAATCCAAGCTTTTGACAGGATGACTGCAAGTGGTATCAGGCCAAATCACATTACATTTGTCTGCCTCCTGACTGCATGCAGTCATGCTGGATTAGTGGACGAAGGACTGGAATATTTTTACTCTATGAAGGATGCACATGGTATTGAGCCTAAAGAGGAGCATTATTCATGTATCATTGATATGTATGGTCGAGCTGGGAGACTAGATGAAGCAGAAAAATTCATAAGTGAGATGCCTATCAAACCCAATGCGTATGGTTGGTGCTCCTTGCTTGGAGCATGCCGGATGCGAGGAAACAAGGAGCTGGGAGAGGTTGCTGCGCAGAATCTTATGAAGCTTGATCCCGATAACACCGGTATTCATGTATCCCTTTCTGGGATATACGCATCATTGGGCCAATGGGAGGATGTGAAATCAGTCAGGAAGTTGATGAAGGATAGCAGTATTAAAAAACTGCCCGGTTTTAGCTAGGTCAATGCTGACAAGAAAACACACGTGTTTGGATCTGAGGTTTGGTAACACCCGAGCAGATACACAAAATTGTAAGACATAATCTGTTGCCGATCTGTCTCTCTCTCTTGCTGTAGCAGAGTGTATATTTCAAGTGTATGTTTTAAATATTTCATCTGTTTTATATGTATGTTGCAAGTATTTCATTTGGATGTTGCAAAAGTAGATCTGGATATTGCATATATATATGCAAATGTTTTAGTTGTTTTCATATTTATGTTGTAAGTGTTTCATCTGGATATTTGCATATGTTCGCAATGGCTACACACGCGTTGTCAAGTTTTCTTTGGTGTTTTTTAAGTGTTTCAAACATATGTTCAATTGTTTCAGTTATTTTCAAGCTTATGTTGCAGTGTTCCTGGTTGGTGGAGTAGTCCTGGTCGGTGGAAAGCTGTATTACTCGAAAAATACCTCTATCATCAATAAGGCAAGGCTAGTAGCATGACACAGTGCAGATCAGCCTTTTAATATTTGTGCCATCTTTCCTGTACACACCTACATGATAAAATAGGACATTCTTTTGAATTGGTCCCCTTTTATGTAGGTTTTTCACTTCTCAAGCTTCGTTGCTACATAAAAGACAATGAAACTTATAGTATAGATAGATTTAAAAGAGATAAAAGGATTCCTTCCTATAGTTCATAAAAGAACCAGAGTTGAATCTGATAAAACTCTACCAAACAAAACCTAAGTGTCATCATATTTATCATATAATATAGTTTAATAATAATCTATAACAATTCACTTTGGTCCGTTCGAAATGTGCATCCTAAAAACACATTTAGATTGGTGATCCTTTCTCTTTCAGAGACTATGTACTATTAATCGTGTGGATTGCAACTGATGGGTGAAGTTTCACCTACTCCATCTATTCTTTTTATCTATCGTTCTCACTTTTCAAAAATCAAACATATTTAACTTTGACCAAAATGTATAAGAAAATATTGATGTTTATGGTACATAATTAATATCATTAGGTAGATCACTGAATTTATTTTTCTAATAAACTTATTTAGAGATATAAATGTTGTTAATATTTTGTACAAACATAGCTAAAATTAAGAAAGTTTGGTTAACACGTTTCTCACGATGACAAATAAAAAAGGACAGAGGGAATATCCTGCTTTAAGGCTTACGAGCGGAGCAACATTTTAGTCATTAGCTCCTCTTCACAATGACAACAAGGTACACGGACCATAAAAACCCCTGTCGCCCTCGTGGCCTCGCTCGAGAGTTTTGCTGTTTACCATTCCCTCCGTACGCAAAGGAATATAATTCTTGTTTTTTAGAAGTCAAATAGTTTAAATTCTAATAAAAATTTTATGAAAATTACTAGCATTCATGATATAAAACAATTAGATTAATTCTGAAATATATTTTATAGTAAACTTTAATTATTATAGACAAAAAAGTATTAATATTATAAACTTGATTGATAAAACTCAAACTAGTTTAAATGGCACGAACCTCATAGTTGTGTTCCTCTTTGGACGGACGATGCAGAGGATTAGATAAATCGTAAGATATTGGCTGTATTTGTCTCTTTGACTTTGATAGCCAATCACGGGGGGACCTAACAGATAGGCGCGGTAGGCTATCAGTTTCGGTGGGTATATATCGCGAAAAGCGAATGGAAAACCAACCTCGCATCGGTCGGCTGGGCGGGCCCTAGGTGACTGAGGCTCTCTCACCTCATTGGTCGGGAAAACCGACGGCTGAGGCTCGCTCGCGCGGTTCAGCATCCCATTTACCGTGCACGTCGCCATCGGACAAGGGGGCTGTTTGGAAGCTTGTCAGGCGTCGTTGGCGTCTGGGTGGAGAAAATTTTGTTTTGAGACGGTCTGGGGGGGAGAATTAAAGATCGGTAATGCTCTTCTCCAGACACCGCGTTTCCTGGTCCACGTCATTGGCTCCTGCTCGTCGCGTGCTCTGACCGCGACGCTCACTCCCGTCCGCGCCCATGATGCTGCACCCCGCACAGATGCTCACTCAGCGCTGGCGACGCCCAATCCCCTTCGCTTTTCTCTAGCGCAGGAGCACCGCGCCGCGGGCACCGCACCCGCCCGCCGTGGCCTTGTCTAGAGTGGAGGTCGCTCGCTGCAAGCACTGCGCCCGCCCACCCGCTGCACCCTCCCCCACTACACGCCGGCGTCGATCTCTGCACCAACCACGAGCTCTGCGAGACGACTAGCCTCGATTCGTCCGAGCAGCAAGGTAACATTACTGAAAGCGCATGTTACAAGTGTACGTTTCAAGTGTGTTTAGATATTATAGAGTTATGTTGCAAGTGTTTTATATCGACGTTGAAAAAATAGATCGGGATGTTGCACATGTTAAAATGGCTATACATGTATATTTTAAGTGTATGTTTCAAATATTTCATCTGTTTCATATGTAGGTTGCAAGTATTTCATTTGGATGTTGCAAAAGTAGATCTGGATGTTGCATATATGCAAATGTTTTAGCTGTTTTCATATTTATGTTGTAAGTGTTTTATCTGGATATTTGCATATGTTCGCAATGGCTACACACGCGTTTTCAAGTTTTCTTTTATGTTTTTTAAGTGTTTCAAACGTATATTGCAAGTGTTTCAGTTATTTTCAAGCTTATGTTGCAGTGTTCCTGGTCGGTGGAAAGCTGTATTACTCGAAAAATACCTCTATCATCAATAAGGCAAGGCTAGTAGCATGACACAGTGCGGATCAGCCTTTTAATATTTGTGCCATCTTTCCTGTACACACCTACATGATAAAATAGGACATTCTTTTGAATTGGTCCCCTTTTATGTAGGTTTTTCACTTCTCAAGCTTCGTTGCTACATAAAAGACAATGAAATTGTAATTTTGGAGCTGGAATGGCAAAACTTTAGTCCTGCACTTTTAGCCTTTTGTTTTGCCATGGGGATCCAAACAGGTGGATTAAAAGTGAACAAATGAGGAGAACTAAAGTTTAGTCCATTTACTTCTCAAGGGGTCAAAAATGCCTTGGAGGGTGCAGTGGACACCTAATACCCCCAACCCACCCCCGCTCCTATTCGCATCTCAGGCTCGCAGCGCGTCGCCCCACGCCTCCTGTTCGCCTGTGCACCGCCCCGCGCTTCCTACTCGCAATGCGCCCAAGCAGCGCTCGCCCACACGGAGCTCGCCCTCCCAGCACCGTGCGCCACGGTAGCAAGAGGTCCCTGCGCTAATTCGCACCGCGCCCCGGAGATCCCTGTGCTCCTCCACACCGCGCCCTAGAGATGTAACAGAACCGACCAAATCATAAGAACGTAAGTACAAAAATAATCACCGAAGCGATCAAATTCCTGTACTTAAGCTCCCATAATCCCGGTAGTCCGGAAATCACGAAGGATTTCAACCAACTCTCGACATATAAACCAAGACCGTAGTGATTCAACACAACACATTATTCGTTACAACATTTCACAAGTAGCATTCCGATGACATCCATCAGAGTTCAAATAAAATATTACAAACCAAGTTTAAATTTGCGAAGCAACATAGTTTAGTACATAACTTCATAGTTTCAAATACATTGCCAGATCTTAGTTATGTCCCACAAAAGCATCTTTAGATACGAGAACTAGGAGAGACCGCGCCCAACGGTCTAGTCTTCATCCCCAGCCGGGAGAAGGCAATACTTGCAGTAATCAATGTAGAACTGGTCACCTGCAACAGGTGGGAGATAAACCCTGAGTATGAGAAGGTACTCAGCTAGACTTACCCGATAAAACTAGAAATAAAAGACACCAAGGATCATGCAAGACTTATGAGGTGGGCTAGCTTGACACATTTGCATAAAAGAGGTTATGAAGATAGTGACCAATTTAAACTTAGCATCAAGCTTATCATCATTTACCTGTCCACTAGATTAACACCTGTACTAGAGCACTCACTTATTAGGAGCAATCAATATTAACCATAGATGGTATAATAAGGCTGTCATCATTATATCATCATTTTTGAACCATTATGTTATTTAGTGTATCTACTTTGGAGATAAGCCCGTCAAGTTCTCACTAACCGGGAGAGACGGCGACTCGAATCGAATTACAACTCAGTTGATGGTGTATTCCTAACTCTCACCCTGGCATACTTTGCAAGGGTAGCCGTGGATCACCTTTGGAACAACTCAGGAACCAAATTCGTGGGTTCGATCAGCGCTAGCACTCTTAGGGATTACCCTTCTGCCAGGACGATCAGGACTTTTGAATCATCTGCCCTTGGACTCACACCTACGGCTCCCTTCCGAGGCGCACTTTATACTTATCAACTCCCTACCCGAGGTGAGCTACTCGGCTCGTGGTCGGGTCTCGAGACCCTGCCAACTAAGAGAGAGAGGCATGCGTTCAACATGAACAGAAAGGCTCCAAGATTCAGTCCTTAAGCGACACGACGGAGTCACCGCAAACCGCAAGCCTCCGTCTCGGTCTTCATTTCAAATTAAGACTAGTTCTTTTCCATGATAGCAAATATAGTCAACCGTGTCATATGTATCTTCCTATATCTCGCAGGTGACAGAAATCACCGACTTCTACCATGTTTAAGCGGTAAGCACTACATATAACCTGAACTACATAGGATTGTGGTATCGATATCTGGACAAGGATTAGATAATCAATGCGAAATGCAAGTGTTTGCATCCAACACCTAAACTTAATGCAACAATATATATATGTAACAATAATACTTTAAATCTATTTCGAAATTAGGAGGCTTAATATGCTCTCGGGCTTACCTTTTCACAAAGTTGCACTAGACGGTGATCCGGCAATCAACGGCACCCTCGTCTACACTTCTCCTAAATGTCTAGCACCTCCTGAACTCTCCGGTGTTGGTCGCTTTATACCGCCTCGCTTGGTTCCTCGAATTCCAAAGAGGTCACTCCTTCCGGTACACACCTATTGCATGTCGATGCACAAGATAAACATCATGGATGCATAAGGAATGACATGATGC